TGTTGAGCTCCGATGATGCTGTGTTAGTGGCAGTTTGTAAGGATAAGGAGGAGCTTCATGTCTTGGAGGAAGAATTTGATAGACTTCAACCTTCTTGGTAGCATCATGTAACAGGACCTCCGTGAAGCTGGCCCCCCATGTGGTCAGAAATGGAATAAAAATGCTAGTTTTTGTTGGTGCTGCGTTTTTGCTGGTTTGTGCCGTAGAAATCATCGTTTGGGCTGGCACCGTTTTTAAGAAATTGAACATTACAGTTTATTGCCTGTGACATCATGCAGCCCCCATCAGCGTCCAAATCGCACCAAAAGGGTCTCATTCGTTTGTGCTGGTTTGTGCCGTTAAAAGAAACTTTCCAGCTGTTTTAATTCTCCAGTTATAAAGCCACAAATGTTGGAGTGACATTCATTTGTGCTACGTCACTCGTCCAACATCTGTGGCTTTGTTTGTGGCTTTACTGATTTTTACGGCAAAAACGCAGCACCAACAAATAGTAGCATTTTTATTCCATTTCTGACCACATGGGGGGCCAGCTTCACGGAGGTTGTAATAGGAGGAGACCTAGTTGGTGAGTGGAAATGGACACAACTAAACTGGAGATTTACAGCCTAATGAAACTGGTCAGTTCTTTAAAATGATGTCCTACCTGCGCATATATTTAAGCTAACAAAGTAGACTATAAGGAGCCTCTCATCATTAAAGCTCTGTCTTCCAGGTGGTTGTTAGGAGGTTGATAGAGTTTTTCTTTATAGCTTTTAATCAGTTTTGGAACTCCTGTTTTTTCCACACTTTCTTCTTTCTTATGCAAGTGGATTGTTATATCTAACATCCTTAGAAATATAAAAGTAAAGCATAACTTGTTTTTAATGGCTGTGTTGACGAAATTAAATAAACAAAAAAAACTATATGAATCCACTGGGAGATCTGCAAAGAACAACAACTCAGAACATTCATTAATGTCAGTCAATATTTATATATATTTATTTATTTAATTTTTACATAAAATGAAAGCACACAGCTCCACCTGTCTTGAGAAACGGCCACACGACAATAACCATGACCATGCATATGCTACGACTGATGAGCTGGCAGTTGTTTCGACAGCAGTTTTAGCTGCTGCTTCAGGACGGTGCGATTCCAAATCCACATCCCAAGTCTGCAGCATGCTGGAGCATCCGAGGCTCCCTGATGACAGCATGTGTTTGGTCAGAAGTGTCAGGCAATACTGTAGTGTTGAGTCAGTCACGGCTTTAGGACGTTGCTCCGTTCTTCAGGCGCAGAGACAAGAACACGGATCAGGAAGCACTTCAAAATACTACATTACTGCATACATATCTTTGGCATGAGATCCAGATACTTTGTATCCAGTTTTGCACACATCTCCCAACATAATACATATGTTAACGACACATTTAGCCTGGTTTGACCATCTCATCCATACGTTTTCTGTGTAAAGTTGCAGCATGAAACAATAACACAGTTCACAAGTGTAAAGATGGTCGAACAAGGCTAAGATAATCGCAAAAGAGCTCCAAATTCAACTTAAAATGGCCCAACTGGCCAACACAATTATTACGTCTTTGAAAAAACAATTTGGGACGATTCATTCAGTGAATATGGGAACTGATAATCCTGATTGGTGCTGTACTTTATGGTAAGAACACAATTTAAGAATCACAGATTTTTTCCAGTTATGTTTAGGGCTGGGTATCGTTTGAAATGTTTCTGTATTTTTTTTTTTTATTGGTAGCTTGAATTTGATTCCGACACTGTGTCTGCACAAGAGCACTTCTTTAAAGAACTGTACTACAGAACTCACATTATATACACTATGGCCTTTGAATTCCGCAAAATAAACAAGAAAATATGTAAGAATTAATAAAGAAGAATTAATAAAGAAAATAAAAATGAACAGAAAGCCTTTCTGAGAGCCCTCCTAGCTGTATTTGATCTTCTGGTACCGAGACAGAACGAAAAGAAGTAGGAAAAGAGCTGTAATTTCCCCTAAACGTCAGAGGAACTTGGAACATTTACCTGCACAGTTACACTCAGATAAGGAGCAACTTTTCAAAACAGTGATATTTTGTCAAAAAGCTATTTCAGAAAAATTAGCAGCTCAGAAAACTTGAGATCATGAGCTAGTTGAGGTGCCAGCTGAAGGTAATTTTAGATAGATACGCTGGCTGGCCAAAAGTATGTGGACACCTGACCATCACACCGATATGAGCTTCCAGGACATGCAGCTGTAACAGCTCTTCTGGGAAGCTTTCCACAAGATTTCGGTGTGTATCTGTGGGAATTTGTATCAATTCAGTGAAAAAACATTTGTGAGGTCAGACTCTGATGTTGTGCGGGAGGGCCTGGCTCACAATCGACGTTCCAGTTCATCCCAAAGGTGTTCAGTGGGGTTAAGGTCAGGGCTCTGTGCAGGCCACCTGTCAAACTCGTCAAATCATGTCTTTAGGAACCTCGTTTTACACCACTCCAGCCGACGCTTGGCACTGCGCATGCTGATCTTAGGCTTGTGTTCAGCTGCTTAACTATAGAATCCCATTTCATGAAGCTCCCGATGCACACTTCTTGTACAGATGTTGCTTCCAGAGGCCGTTTCAAGCTCTGTGGTGAGCAATGCAACAGAGGATAGGCGAATTTTACACATTTCAGCGGTTGGCGGCTCTTCTTTGTGAGTTTGCGTGCTCTACCGCTTCGTGGCTGAGCTGTTGCGGCTCCTAGATCTGTCCAACTTACAGCTGACAGGGGAAGATCAAGCCGAACAGAAGGCTATGTGCTTGATTTTACACTCCTGTTAGTAAAGGGTGTGGCTCACTGAATTTGAGTGTAGTGCTGTAATAGGATGCCACCGTTGCAACAAGGCAGTTTGCGAAATTTCTTCCCTCCTAGATTTTCCACGATCAACTGCGAGTGGTATTATTGAAAAGAGCAAGTGTTTAGGAACCACAGACAACGTAAAGTTACAGAGCGAGTCGCCGAGTGCTGAGGAGCATAGAGCATAAAAGTCTCCAACGCTCTGCTGATCAATAACTGCAGAGTTCAAACCTCCTCTGTCTTCAACATCAGCACAGAAACTGCACCGGGAGCTTCATGGCCTGGGTTTCCATGGCTGAGCAACTGCATGCAAGCCTTACACCTAAGCACAATGCCAAGCGTCAGATGGAGTGGTGTAAAGCGCCGCCACTGGACTCTGGAGCAGTGAAACGTATTCTGTGGAGCGACGAATCAGCTTCTCTATCTGTCAGTCTGATGGACGAGTCTGGGTTTGGTGAATGCCAGGAGAACGTTACCTGCCTGACTGCACTGTACCAGCTGTAAAGTTTGGTGGAGGAGGGATGATGATATGGGGCTGTTTTTCAGGGGTTGGTCTAGAACCCTTAGTTCCAGTGAAGGGGAACCTTAATGCTTCAGCAGCAAGACATTTTGGATAATTGTACACTTCCAACTCTGTGGAACAGTTTGGGGAAGAACCTGTTCTGTTCCAGCATGACTGAGCCCCTGTGCACAAAGCAGCTCCATAAAGGTCTGACTGGGTGAGTTTGGTGTGGAAGAACTTGACTGGCCCTCACAGAGCCCTGACCTCAACCCCATCAGACACCTTTGGGATGAACCAGGGTGGAGTTTGTGAGCCAGGCCCTCTCGTCCAACATCAGTGTCTGACCTCACAAATGCTCTTCTGGATGAATGGGCAGAAATTCCCACAGACTCTCCAACATCTTGTAGAAGCTTCCCAGAAGAGTGGAAGCTGTTAGAGCTGCAAAGGGGGACCAACTCCATATTAATGCCTGTGGATTCATAAAAGCTCCTGTAGGTGTGACATGTAGGTGTCCCAATACTTTTGTCCCTATAGTATAGATACATAGGATGATAGATAAATAGACAGCTAGTTAATTGTTACTGGTGTATCCTGGCTGAAAATAGTTCCTGCTGTGATTTGCTAACTGAGGTATGATTGGTTGTGGACGGTGATGGTTGTGGACCTTTGTCTAACTTATGTTAGGCTACATAGAGACCTGTCAAGTGTAAGCATCATGTATGTCTTGTCCAGTGTGCAAAACACTCCCTGCCAGTCGGGGTTCTCATGTTGTCTCGCTAATCCAAGGTCAGCTGACAGCTCATTTGCCACAGCGGCGCCGATGCTTTAATGGCAACAGAATGTTTGGTTCCGCAATTGTTCTTCTGTAAAGTCTCTGTTCTAGTGCGGTTCTGCGCTCTTCCTCACATTAACTGAGATCTTCCTCGTCTCCTCTTCTGTAGAGTCTCTGTTCTAGTGCGGTTCTGTGCTCTTCCTCACATTAACTGAGATCTTCCTCGTCTCCTCTTCTGTCTTCAGTGTGAGAAATGAGGAACAGTCACTCTTCACTGCAAACTCCTGGGGGAGTTTTCAGATTTACAAATATGTTACGGCACACTGTAAAGTTTTTCAGAGGCATCCTGGGCGGAGTTGCAGTTTCTAGGCTATGAAGGACCAACTGGGTGAACCAGTCTGCTACAGCGCCACCCTGAGGCAGAGCAGTGCTGCAGCTCTAGGTAGTTAAGAATAGCAAAGACAGAAGCTTACTGTCGGTGAAGCAGCTGATAATGACAGCACACCATCATAATACATTTATTTTCAAGGACCACCCCCCCCAAAAATTGTTTCGAGATATTCGAAATACTCTTTGAGATATTCAGAGGGTCCAAGAAGTTCGTTAGGAGGTCCAGAACCCTCTCGGACCCCCTGTATTTCTCACCCAAACATCACTAGTACCAATGAGATTGACTTGTGATACCCAGCCCTAGTCAATTTTCTGTTATGATATTTGTAATATAACAACAGATATTTGTTTGGCATTTGTTCTTGTATAGTAATTCTTGATTGACTCTAGCTTTAATTAATTTCCTGCAGGTGGATCTAATCTAAACGTCTAATTAGGGCTGACCAATATATCAGCCGGCCAATAATATCAGCAAATATTGATGGCTTGTGGTTTTCTCTGTATTGTAAAATTAAATACTGCCAATGACATGCCAAGAAATGTGGGTTTTGTTGGGATTCAATGGGGCAAAACCTTAAATGGCTGGCCACTGGGGAGTAGTATGAGTATGAGTCGCCATCTGCTTAAATGGATCATAGTAAAACAAGAGAACTGCAGAATCTGAACACAAATTAAACTAATCCTTAGAGAATAACATGTCACAACACAAAAAAGCCTGTTTGAAAGAAGAAAACTAATGAAAAACATGAAGTAATTAACAGAAACCAAATCAAAAGGAATTCCAGGTAACTCCATCGCCGGTGCTACAATATTTCTTATTGTTTAAGATTGAGTTTGTGTTATTTTCAAAAGAACTGTGAAAATTGAGAACTGACAATTGTATCAGTCAGTAAAGCACTGTTTCACTAAAACGACTGGACCATAAAATTAAAATCTAAAATTATATCAGCCGATATTTTTGGTTATCTTGATTTTTTGCCCATAAAGGGGAATTCCACCAGTTTCAGTCATTGAGTGATCTGAAGTGAAATGCAGACTGCGAATTGTTCACAGTGGTGGTGATAGGAACCAGACGTCCACTTTGAAAAGCTCCCTCACAGAAAGTTACTACATGAGATGGTTATGAATTCACTGCCTGATGCCTGAGACACTGTTTTACGATATTTTTAAGATAAAGTTTTGGCCTAAAAGACATTTTTAACCCCTTTCTTGACAGAGATGTACATGCAGAGTGAAATAGCCACCAAAAAACAAACAAACAAGAAAAACACATCAGTTTGAGATTTATCATAATTTTACCACCATTTTTTAACATTTTACCAATTTTAACATCAACAGACTCGTGTAGGTTCACTGGTGGTTCTGGATAGTAAATAAAATGTCTATATTTGTGTTGTAGTCATGGCGACCCCTGGTTCCTATCACCACCACTGTAAGGACGTCTGAACCATTTCACACCAAACCACTCTGAATCTCTCTGTTTACATCTCAAACACTGAATTATGTAGAAATTTTGAAACGTCAGAGGAATTCCCCAACTTCTAACCTCTGAGAACTGATGTTCTGCTGTTTTCTGTCTCCTTCTTTATTCTATCTGGTGAGTTTTTTCCTCACACCTTTGCCTTGCTTGCTGCAGGTTCAGGTCTGGATCTCTGTAAACCCTCTACGTGACGATATCTACGGTGACAAAAACAGAAAATAGCATCGAGGTTGAGGACGATGTTGCATCCTTTCTGTGAAACGAACCACTTTTCAAATGACAAAGAACTGCAAATGACAAATGTCCATAGAAATCCACAGAGCATAGAAATACAGAGCGTAAATCGTCCAAAAGTACAAAACCAAAACTATTTTTGGAAAAGAAACGTCACCTCACAAAGCCGAAAGTGTATCAAAAAGTAAACATTGGTATTCTCAGGTACTTTCAGAGAGAAGCGCTTTGACGAAAAGGCAGATGATGCATGGCAGGTTACCATACTGTTCCAGGAAATTTCGCAAGGCCTGTTTGAGTAAATGTACACGATTTGTAGCGTATATGATATAAACAATTAAAGGAAAGAAAAAAAAGGAAATAATTAATGAAAAAAAAAAAAAAAACAAGAATCAACACAAATTTTTTTAAATCCTCTTCGCTTAAAAAGGCTTACAATCTTGTACGAAAATAAATAATTTAAAAAGAACAAGCCTCCTTGGAAAGAAGAGAGAATAACACACAAGTCTGACAATCAGGAGGTGGACAGCCTCGCAGGCTCAAAGGAAAGAAGACGAAGGCCGTCCTCTGGCCTTCCAGTAGTGTGGGCAAGATGACCACGTGCTTGTCTGGACGGAATCTTCCATAAAGGCCGATGAGATTGTAAGATCTTAGATACCTACACAGTGAATACATTCAGGCTGTAGAGGAGGGGCCGTCTCCTCTGAGAGAGGTACATTTGGCACAATCAGTCCAGTTCACTCTGCAGCGCCGTTTCAGTTCGCAACCTCTGCGGCCTTTGATAGCGTTCGGTAAGTGTTCGTATGGTGGGTGAGGATGAAGTTTGGGACAGAGATCGGTTGTCTCCTGAGACATTCAAGAACCCCTTATATCCTCTGGAGCGTCCTGCTCAGAGGAAGCTTGTCAGTCTGAAGGCACGTGTGCTTTTGCACTGAGGCGTCTTTTCTGCTGCAGCTGAACACCTCAGTGTTCTCTGGTCCTTGGCCTGGATTTCCCAGCATTCTCGGTTTGGTCGTTCTCTGGGAAAGGCACTCAAACTTCGAAGACTCAAATCCCCTTCGTCAAGTCCGTGATGACGTTGGCCTTCACCAGCTTCTGAAGAAACTCCTTCTCCTTCGAAATGTTGTGAGTCCAAGACTGTGGGATAAGAAGAGAGAGAATTGTGAACTTTCATCACATCTAAATGTCGCTAAATCTCAATGTCTGTGTTTACATGCAAAGATTTTCGCCAACCCGATTGAACACATTCCGATTACAGACTAAGACTGAGGTGTTTATTCTCACTCTACTCAACAAAATAGAAAATCTCCGTTTACATGCCCACTACGAGTAATCTGATCCCAATGTGCATGTGTAGAGAACCACTTAGTGTAGACGTTACCATGACAACCAGCATCACGTGAGTCCAGTCAGAGTGAGATGAGCAGCAGTGAGCAGTGCTTGTGTTTTTAATTGCTTTAAAATGATGTCGGACTCAGGAAAACGTCCTTCACACGTCCTCATTAAAGATGGCCGAGAGGAAGACGTCGTGTTCTGAGACACATAAGCTGGACGTCCGTCCCACCGCCGTCTTTTAAAGATCAGAGCATAAACTTCGTCTCCTCTGCAGACCAGTTTCTGCTCCGCCATGTTGAACGGTACAAACTTTCACTATGATGCGACGAACATGATCAGAACGGACTTAAACTTTCCGATAGGGAATGTAATCAGATACAGGCGTTTACACGGATATTATTCTTCTATTTAACGGATTATTTACAGGATTACCCACCTCGATCAATCTGACTGGCCTCAAGCGGACTAGTCTATTCCAACTGAGGTGTATACATGGACAAATTCTATTCCGATTTAGCTTTTACAGTCAGATTATTAATGGATTATCAGGCTAATGAAGGTTTTCCTGTCATGAAATCTAAAACATATTGTATCAGTCATCAGGTCTCAATGTAATCACACAAACGCAGCCTTAAAACTTAGTAGAGCTGTGTGAGCTTAAAAAAAAGCTTATGACCAATTATGGGCTGACAAATCTACCAATTAAATGTAGGGCTGTCAAACGCTAAAAATCAAATAATAATTTATTGGTTAATTAATTGTACGAGCCAAATTTAATCCTAAAGAAAGATTCTTTTCCATTTAAAAAACAGTGCCTTTTATTATAGCTAAGGCGCAGATAGCGACCACCATTCATTTATTTAATTAATTTTTTCAAAATGGTCCTTAAGTACAAATTCTTCATTTTTGAGCATCAGGAAAAAAAAACAAAACATAAACAAAACAAATCTTATTTTGTCTATTTTTTTTTTGACTTGGTCAAAATAATGACGTATGTTCTTCACAATTTTCTGAGTTTTTAAGATGAAAGATGTGCATAATATGCTGAAAACATGAGTTATTAAATTTCAAGAAAGTAAGTAATCATCTCAGGGCTACTAAGTCCAAATTTGACAAATATTTATTTTGAGATACTAAATCATTAAGTCAGCATTTTATGTCGATATTAGTAGGAAATAAGTATTTTTAGTCAGTCAGGAGAGGAGGAGGCCTTAAAATTTGACAATTTTTTGGAAATTTTCCAAATTTATGATATATTTCCTTACAGTCGTAACAGAAGCTACAGAGAGGTTTATAATGCAGTACTTTGGGGAGCAGAGCACTACGCACTCCTGTGAAAACTATCTGAACCGTCTCTTCTCAGGTCAGGGCATCTCCCACCAATCACAACTAGAGACAGATCACCAAAACAGTCTGCCATATGCAATTTTTCTTCTTTGTGATTTTCGGGACGTAATCCAACTGCAGTGAAAGGAGGTCATGCTTCCTGTTAGCACGGACAGACTTTTGGTTGGGTTCGGGCCGTAAGCCCCACAGCACTGGAGCTTGGGACCTACAGCTCAATGGTTGAAACCAGAGCTTTGGGTTCCTGTGAGGTTTCTGGGGCTGTGTGGGAGGGAATGAAGGGATGGAGGGATGCACAGCTGCCTCTCTTTCTTTGCCTCTTGCTGGAGGTCCTGGTCCAAAGTCCCTGGGCTGTCTGCCGGCCTGTTTGAAGAATGGCAACCACGGCGAAACGAGCAGATCCAGGAGTAGGGTTTCAGGAGGAAAGAAAAGGGTCGAGTGAATGGAAGGGTCTGAATCTCTTCAGGCCTGGGGGGCGGACAGGGAGAAGGAGAAGGCCGGAAACAATCCCTCTTCCGTATGTTCCATATAGGCCTATAGTTAGAGAAACAGGTCTCTGCTGGAGAAGCCGGGAGCAACCGCTGCATCTGCTGCTCGCCGTGAGTCACTTCGTAAACAAGTACTACTTAAACAACCGAGGACCATAACAAACGGCCCGAAAAATGTGAGGCAGGCACGAGTCTGTTATTCTCAGGTTACTCACACAGTGTTTAGTTGGATGCAGTGAAAGTCAATTGTGATTCAACAAGCTGCCTCATAACCTGCGTCATGAAGCCGCTGACCAATCCACACATCGGTAAAATTCCGAGTTTGCTTGTTCGACCAGGAACGCTGGAAGAGTGGGTGCTAAGGGGGCTGCAGCAGATTTCAGGGCTGTTTAACTGCAACTGCTGAAGAATATATATAGAAATAATACTATAAGCATAATGAAGACCTTTGTGGCTTGAATTAGGGTGGAGTTTGTGTCACTCACAGTAAGTACTCAAGTCTTTTTTCAATGAACAACTTTAGTTTAGCCATTTCCTTCTTCTATTCCAGCCTGCAGTACTACAGATGGTTCAAAGGGCCAAACTAGGAAAATGCGTTATTGGCATAAAAATAAAAAAGTCATTAAAAATGTACTGAGGTAACACGTTATTAATGCATCAAAGCTTATTCTTGGCAGCATTATGTTGGTGTTTGGTACCTTGATATAATGATCTTCTCAAACTATCGACTCAGCATCTCGAAATAATTACGATTCTCAGAATTTTGACTTACTATGTCAAAATAACAAATTTTATCACAATTTTGACTTAGTAACCCAAAATAATGACTTTCTATGACAATGCGGGGGCTGCAGCACCCCCAGACTTCAGAACTGTTTAAATGCAACAGCTACAAATAATTAAAAATAGTAAACTGAGCGTAGTAAAAAGCTGCGTGCTTGTTTAAGGGTGGAGCTCATATTGTTATTTCATATTTTATTCATATATTTTCAGAATTAGCAGTAGTACTTTTTAAAGCAGCATTATGCGAGAATTGGGATTTTCTGCTCATGGGCTCCCCCTAGAGTTGTGAAGTGTATTTCACTTTTACACCACTGTCATAAACACAAATTATGCCTTGGCAGTGTGCGTCCATGAATTTGGGGGTGGAGCTTCTGAAGGAGCATCACTAACTGCGCCTTTAAACGTGGCATCCAGCTCCCGAGTGGCGCAACCGTCTAAGCGTTGGCCCTGTCATCAGGAGATCGCGAGTTCGATCCCTGGTGATGCTACAGCCGTCCTTAGCTGGGAGTCCGAGAGAGCACAACTGGCCTCGCTCTCTCGGGGTGGGTAGGATGGCCCCTCCTTCTCCCCCCATCACTCAGCGCGATGCTAGTCAGCGCAGGCGTCTGTTAGCTGACGTAACAGATCTGGCGGTTGGCGCTTTCCTCCGAGCGCGTTCGGCTGTCCAGTGACGTTGCGTGAGCGGCAGTTTGAAAAGAAGCGGTGGAGCTTCACAGGTCTCGGAGGGAGCCTGTGTTAGACTTCACCCTCCTAGCGTTGATAGCATCGTGTGATTGGGGGAGTCCTAACTAGCGGGTGGAATTGGAGACGACTAAATTGGGGAGAAAAATCGGGTAAAAATTAAAAAAAAAACAAAAAAAAAAACGTGGCATCCAGCCCCGCCCTTGATCAGTATCGACTGTCGTTCAATCACGCTGAAAGGCCATCGGTATCGGCCCCAAACACAGATCTGTCCATCTTTAATTATTAATGTTTAGAAAAGTTTACATTAATAATAACTACTTATTCACCTAAAATATTTCCACAATTCAAAAATTATTATTGATTAATCGTGTCATTTAATAACCGGCTGTCATTATAGCATCATATGACGTTCTGTTTATGTCACTTATATGTCGCCTGAAATCAGCACCTCTAACTCAAAGCACCTTCCTGCGTCCCAGTGTTTGACTGGATGTTCCAGTAGCAAGTAGAAGCCACCAAATTTTAACATTTATGAGAGTCTTTTAAAGCCATGGCAAATAAAAGGAGAGAGGAATTTTATTACACGGACAAAATAAAGGTCATCTTCATCAGGACTAGCCTGAAAAAACACCCGAGCAAACACAGGATGGAAGAGGAAGCCTGCTTTATTCCTCTAATTAGAGCAGCTGCAATATTCATTCACTGAACAGTTAAACAGGACGAGAAGAAGGTCAGATAAAGGTCCACACGCTGAGCTCATAGTTCAAGAACAAGCCTGACCCGCCTGTTCAAATACTGCATGTTAATTACATCCATTATCCCAAAATCCACACAGCTGACATTTTAGATTCAAAACTTAACGAAACACCAGAAGAAAGAGAAAAAGAAAAGCTGTACCTCTTTGATGGCAGACATTTTGACTGTCTCGTAGTAGTGCAATGGTGCATGAGGGGTGTTCATGTCGTAGCCAAATCCAGCAACAGCGACTTCATCGCAGTTATGAAGAGCCATCGTTATGGCGACGGTACCCAGTGTTGGAATGTTCTGTGGAAAGAAGAATGAAGCTCAAATGCTGCGCTGCAGTGTCTGATCTCCACCGGCTTTGCGGAGTATTTGCTGTAGTGTCTTTGCTATCCAGGGGGTTGTTTCACTGCACCATCGCAGACCACCATAAACACCTAGTGAGTATGTCCCCTTACTCCGCACACAGGGTAAGAGGACGTAGGGGAGAGCAAGCCCCTATGTAGCTAAAATGGCTCAAGTAGAGCAGGGGTTCTCAACCACTGGGCCGTGGCCGAGTAGTGAGCCTTGAAACACCCTCTGTTGGTCTTCGGGCCAATACTGAGGGGTGCCAGTGGTCCATAGTGGGCCTGCGATGGCACTTTGTCATAAAAATAAAAAAGAATTGACTTAACAATAAAAAAGAACTATGAAATGTTTCCAAATGGTAAACATTAATACAAGGCCGACGAAATTTTTTTACCTCTTGACTCTAAAACCAAAATATTTTCCCCCAGTCTTTAAGCTGTCCACCTGCAACTCTACTAAAAGAAATCGTGTTGCAAAAACACAAATTTCACTGATGCCTGGTCATTATTGCAGGAGTGGACACACTGTACTAAACATTTCCCAAAAATGAAGCTTTTAAGCCAGAAAGCTGTGCTTTGTTTTCTTGTCGGCCTTCATGCTTGCTAGTGACAAACGAGTGGGCCACCTAACTGCACAGACTCAAGAAAAAAGTTGTCGTGAATAAAATATTTTACAGTGCTGATATTTGCTCTTCTGCTTAGGTAGCAAAGCTTTTCTGCTTGAAACACTATTGACTTCATTGTGTTTTGCATCAATGTACATGACTGTTACCACAAGCCCCTCTGTTACAGTTAACACCACCTATGAGTTCAGTAACATTTGTGCTCACTCGGCTTTCAGCTGAATTGTTCAAAAACGGTAGGTGCTGGAAACAAAGTGTGCATCTTCATTTGTAGAAGAGATCTACGGGTTCACTGTATAACAAATATTCATTTTGCCTAAATACCTTTGAAGTTATCTAGCAAAAAACAAAACGTGTGGTCCTCTTCCATTCATTTTGTCCAAGTAACAGAAAAACACAATACCAGTGGTTCTTGGGGGCCACAGAGTGGGTGGTAAGGGGGCTGGAGAAAAATCTCGGAAGTTGTATCTTTACTTAGTAAGTTTTAATTTTGCCAGTTTATTATATTAACATGGCACTTGTTCCTAAATGGTGAAATATGTGCCAAACATCTGTATGTGTAGGGGGGGCTAGAGGGCGAGGTGGAGTGCGGAATGGGGGTGTAACAGCATTTACTATCCATAAAGGAGGCCTTAGACTTGAAAAATTGAGAACTGCTGCGTTAAACTATACAATGTCAGCAACATTTTTAATTATGCTAATTGTTGGGGTTTAAGCTTCATTACTTATAGTTACAGGAGCCATCATGAAGCTTCACTGACTGACAGCTGGGCTCATCACCCAGAATGTGTTCAAGCCGTAAAAAGGGCGCGGTCACTTCTTTGGTTCGCGTCCTCAGATTCTTAAACTTTACTTTCAGACTTTTAACTGTCTTTTGACGCTGCAGCCTCGTTCTCCTGCGGCCGCGTTCGGACAGTTCAAATCTCTTTAAACACGGAGGAGTTTAGATGAGTCTCTTCTAATTTTTGTACAGAAATATCACCCTAAATGTTTATGAGTCTCAGCTGCGTGAAATTATGGCGAATGTTGAGTTGGATTGACGTAAAAGCCGTGTGAACTCCAATCTGGCTGTTGAGACAATTTCCATTAAGATGTGCATGAATTATGAGGGCAAAAAAAAAACAACGAAATAATCGTTCATTAATCGTAATCGAGGTAAAATATTCAATTAATCGTGATATTGATTTGAGGTCATATCGCCCAGCACTACTCAGCAGACCCTTGGACCAGTACGGGTTGGTCGCACGAGCTGAAAACCTGCAACACTGAGCAAAGTTTGCTGTGTGCTGTTTAGAGTTGATCAGCACCGCTGAGTCTGTGGTCTCCTTCTAAACCTATTCCTCTCCAGGCCCGGCTGGCTGAGCGTTTCTGGCTTTGTTCAGGCCAGCAGTTGTTAACTCATCTTGAGCTGCGTGTGATTAACAATTAGCTTAAACAGCCCCCCCACCCATGACACGCCAATTTCAGCAGACGGACCCCCACTTCCTCATCTCCCAGGGGTGGGGAACCATTCGAAATCATTAGCTGGCTGAAGCCCAGGGTACAGCTTGCACACACGCACGCATGCACTGGAACACACATGCTCCCACACACTCGGTCGGGTGGGGTGGGGGTCCGGGCAACGTGCCCACCCCCAGCAGGTGAGTGTTAGGAGGACTCAAAAGGGGAAGGATGTGTCAAAGTGTATCCCGCCTTGATCAGTACCGTATGGGACAGCTTCCCTCCTGAGCTGCCCTCCTACCCACACGCCCTCAGGGGCCTGGGGGGTGGCCCCCACGTGCTCCGCACATGTTTTTCGCAGTTCAAAGAGGGTGGTGGTCTTCAGCCTCAAATCTGCTCCAGAACTGTCCCTGCGCATTCCGCGAGGGGCTGGCTGACAGCTTTATCAAGCCGAGCCCAGCGTGCTTCGAGAAGCAAACCAGGTGAGCCTTCAGAAATGGAAGCAAAAGCTCACACAGGTTATTCTTTCTTTCTGGAGTCTAATTTCCCGAAATGGGAACTCCTCGAGTTCTCGATGAAGCTTTTTTCCGCCTCAGAGAGTTTTAATATCCAGTATCTGTTGAAGTACCAATCTGATTAGTAAAATCAATTTTATGGACATTTTTTCTAAATGTAATCAAATAAAAGTGTTTAATTCAAAATATGATTAAAATTGAACGAAAATATTTTTTACTTCAAATCTAATCACTGCAAAAAATGGTATATTGTCAAGTAAAACTATCTTAAATCAAGGCAACCAAACAATCTGAGTGGTTATTTATTTCTAGACATTTTTACTTGTTTTAGGTAATTTTATTCAATTAAATTCTCATTATACTGGCAAATAACTTTGCTTGTTGTGAGAAATGTGCTTGAAACCAGCACAATTGTCTGCCAGTATAGTGAGACAGTATTACTTAATAAAATGACCTAAAACAAATAAAAGATTTCTAGAAATAAGATAATCTTAGATTAAATAAGGTAGATAATCTTATAATAAGTGCACAACAATCTCAAAATGGGAAGTGGTAGATATATCGACTAGATTTAAGATTTTTTTTGCAGTGATTAAAAATACAAAAAATTCAAGGCTGAACCGATGGAGCTCCCAAACAAGCTAAAATTGCATTTTCTAGCTTCTGTGAAAAAGAGTTAAAACCCCTTTCTGCAGGCGCTCTCGTGGCCATCTGCAAGAAAACTGGAAATTGACTCAGAAATTGTTTTTTATCATTATCATGAAATAAAATATTTCCCCCCACTAACTAGAACTCTGTTGCCTCTCTGTGTGAAATGTGACTCTGTTGAGCTGCTAGTGAGCAATGAGTTGCGAAAGAGGAGGCGTCAGAACCCCCTGCTGTGAAAAACTATTCTCCTCTCCACAAAGACGGTCATGCCGAGATAAAATGGGCAACCGCAGCTTTCTACATAAACAATCCTGTACAAACTAAACTTTTAAACACATCATAAACACTGACTTGCCTGCTCACCTACAAAAGACAAAAATCCAGCTTGCTTCTGGTTTTGTAAATCATACACATTTCCACTGAAATGTATAGTCCTAAAGAACAATTTGCATATCGCAAAAACTGAGGGACCACCAGAACAGGCGAAAACCGCACTGTATGGCTACTGAGGAAAAGTTTCACATCTACGTTGCTGGGTGTGGTCAAATCAAACCTTTTCTTTAATTCGGTTCATTCTGGCAGGTGTGAACAGGCCACCCATGCTTGGGTCGTCACCAAACAAGTGAACTGTGCTTCTCCAAAAATTACAGGTCTCTGCCCAGCTTACGAAATACACATATTTCAAGCTGTTCTAATGCGCAAAGTGCTCATATTTCTTGGTTATAAATGCGCTGTTACTGCAAAGCATACTTAAATTTTATGTGTGGCTAATTTAACAATGTTTTAACATAGCATGGCTACCTTCCCTGCAGTCGAAACACTGGCACAGTAGACAGGCTGTTTGGCTTTTGTTTAAAATAGCTCCACAATGTAGTCATTAAGGCTGCTTGTTAATGTCTGGAAATGTGCCTCCCTGTCCCAAGTTGTGGATAATGTCAGATTCCATCAAGTCTATGACAAACAGACAGCAGTGTTAAAACAGCCTTAGCAAAGAATCGGAAATCTTTCAGATACACTGGACATCCCCAGTCATGTTCGGCGCATGTCACACTCACTTTTCATATGACTATGCAGTTAGGCAGCTACTCCCGGGCCCCCCGCAGACTACACAACATTTCTGAGCAAGGCCTGTGTTTACGAATAGGGAAGGCATTCTGAGGGCGGCCAGAGCAGAGCAGTGAGATCAGAGAGATCACAACCAGATGACACGCTGCGTGTTTCAGGCTTTTCCTGGATAATCATGATGCGTTTTACTAGCAGAGCTCAAGAATGCTGAAGTACCCATGACAAAGCCGGGGTTACACTATATGACTTTCACCCCGGGAATCGAGTCGTGTGTGAGGGGCGCAGACTCCGATTTTTGGCCTCCCGATCGCGTTTCAGACCAGTCAGAGTTTATCAGACATGTCTGACTCGGAGTTTAATCTAGCGTAAACTGATCGACGACTCAATCTGAACAGACTTCTGCCATAGCCAATGAAAACAGAGCATGAAAGAAGAAAATGACAAAAAGAAAAGGAAAAATGGCAAAAAGTCACTCGCGTGTGGGGCGAAGCTGAGTTTGAGGCACAATCAAGTTTATGTACATTTAAAACTAAAAAATACCAAACTGATCACATTTTTAAATCCACGATCCTCACTTAAACATGTTTACCTGCTGCTTCTTTACTGTTTCAGCGGCAGACGAAAAAAACAGCAGGCGCCGCTACACGTTTGTTTATCTGCGTTTCCTAGTAACGGGAGAAAGCGTGATATCACGTGAGTTCAGTGAGTTCAGGGAGTTCCATTTGGTTCAGCAACAGCCTGAAAGTTGAGTAGCATGTGTTCCCTAATCATTTAGGGTGTGATTCTCAACATTTTTAGACACCAAAAACCAGTCCGATAGTGTGAGATTCCAGTCTTTTATAATCTGTTAAGACTTTAAAAGTCGTGCGGTGAACCCAACGCTTAAGGAGAGTTTTTATCAAGCTCTGACAGGAAAATCTTCCTCTGAGGCCTGATTCTTAAAAACTACACTGCTACAGCTGCAGCCATTCATTCATACAGCGCCTGCACTGTGAACGCCTCCGCAAGCAAGTTCTACATTCTTTTTTCCAAATGGATCAATAACTGAATCAGTTATTTTGCTCAATTCAAAGATGATTTGTAGACACCCAAGTGATGCAACTGTCTAAGCACTGGCCTAGTTAAGGGGTCACAACCCAAATGTTAAGAAGAGCCATTCTGTCCTTTCAACAAAAATCTAACCACCTTGGGAGCCACAACATTTCATGTCCATTTTACCATCTTGGCTGTCTCAGTATGTGCTGATGTACTAAAATAGGCTAAAAAATATAATAAACAAAAACGCAGACTTGCTTTACTCTACTTTAAACTTTACCTCAACTACAGCTGCTTTTCTCACATCTCTGGCAGGAAACTTTTCTTATAAAATGTCTCAACATTCGACTTTTCACGAGGCTGAAGTCGCTTCTCGTTCACCAGCTTCTCGTTCAAATTTTCCCGTTCCACCTTAAATGGTGCCTGAGGCGCCAGAATAGAACTGCTGCGCCATTTAAGGTGGAACGGGAACATTTGAACAAGAAGCTCTTAAAAAGATGGTTCTTCAAGGGTTCTTTAGATAAGAAAACAATTCTATATAGAACCATAGAACCATGAACTCTCAACGAATGTGAATTTGTGAATCAGACTGATGGAAAATGTGTTGTATATGGTTCCATATAGAACCATTTACAAAAAGGTTCTATACAGAATTCTATACAACGCATTCTCTGCAATCTGCAGAACAGTTTCATGATGCAAAGAACGCTTTAAGCATGCAAGTGTTCATGGTTCTATATAGAACCATTTTCTTTTACTAAAGAACCCTTGAAGAACCATCTTTAAGAGTGCAGTCCGTCAGCTGCACAGTGCCGCTTTGCCACGTTTTGTTTTTCAGTCTACTTTTTTTAAGGATCTGAGAGAGCCGTGTTGTAGAAACTGCATTTTTTTAATTTCAGCTGTCTTCTTCGTTTCACTGGTCTTCATAGTTCATTTCACTGTACTGCGCTCGATGCCTGTTCTCTAAATGCTCTGCCGTGTCTGGGTTGTGCTACACCATGAAGAGGTGTCATGTGTGAAATAAGCTTTAGACTTTCTACAGAAATAACATGTTTCCTCGTGTTTATGTCTGACCCTTAAGTTCTCGAGGCAGAAAGCGTAAAATAAAACAGGGCGGCCTGCTTTTGACACAGTGTGGGGTTTAATCTGTCCCACTGCCGAGGATTAGCCATGCTGTCATTGACCTATGGTCACCTTTATGGTAATTACAGTCCATTTGAGGAAACACGTGCCCAAGACTTCCTGTGACCCCTATTTCCATAAAATTGCCTACAAGGAACAGCCCGCCATTTCAGAAAGTCTGAGCAGACCCAGTCGGTCCCTCAACGGCGCTACCAGTTCCAGAAAGGTCAACTTCTCTTCAGACGTACAATCTGAAGAAATGATGATCTTGAAAACATATAGAGGCTGTTTACACCTTGCATGGACGTGTTTTCAGTGACCGGATCGTGTTCAGATTTCACTTGACCACATGAAAAATCCGACATAAACACACCCAGGAATGTATTTTCTTCATCCACATACTGACATTAGCACAAATTTTATAAATGATGAATATATAACTTTTATAAAGGTGTGTTTATTATATTTAAAAGCTATTTTTATTGTGACAGTTGTACGTGATTTTTTAAAAGTTGTCCATCTCGGCACTGCTGTCTTGGAGAGGTGTGAACTGGTTTGACATCAGGGGGTTTTCACCCATCATTGCTCACTAGCAGCTCAACACAGAGGCAAAACATTTCACAACAGCGTCGTAGTTCATCTGATTACAGAGTTGTGGGGGAAAATATTTTATTTGATTATATTAATTAAAAATATCCAAGTCGACTTACATTCTGCCGGCAGAATGGCCACTTGGGGGCGCTGCAGAAAGCGGCCAATGGAAAGCATTTAATTATAACCTTTCAGACTCTACAACAGGCTTGGCACTTACCCCTTTGCCCATGAGGCCGTTGTTCAGAGGCAGGCCAATGAACTGGAAGGCAGCTTCTTGGATGAAGTAAGGGTTGAGGATCCGCATCTCCGAAGGCTCCCTGGGCACGTAACGGGCCACAGACTTCCAGAAGCCCTCTGTACCCTGCTGAAGAGCCAAAGACAGAAAGGCACCACACTTAGACGGGTTTGCATTAAGACTGAATATAAAATGAAGCGATCGACACCTTTTTCTCGCAAGCTGGCTGTTATTAAAAAATGGAATTCAAAAACAAGTTCCATACGCGATATTTTATTCCACAGACATGAGAAAAAGGCTCGAACATGCCATCACTGCATACTGATAGTGCAGAAGAACGTGTCCGGAGGGCGACGGCAGGGGCGGCTTTCATTAAAAGTGAGACAGCGCGTCCATGTTGGACAGGCCCACAGGAAGTGGACAAATGAGATCCTGACCTCCACGGGTGTTAGGGGATCCGTGGCAGCCCCCAGGTCCTTTCATACCAATTACTCAGGAGACCGGCCAAGCGCCGCAGCTGAGCAATTATTCAATCGGCAGCCTCGCATTGAGCTCATCAGGCATTAGGAGCTGCGAACGCTGGGCTAGGCAAGGCCGCAACAGGGCTGCTGGCAAAGCGCCAGCCGGGTCATCCGATTTAATGGGAGTCACCTGTTCAAATAAGCAGACGCTGCCTTTGATATTGTCAAATAATGGGAGCAGCCGTTGAGCCGGGCAAAATGCTTTGAACATTTTTCTTTCAGCCCTTGCCGCCCCAGTGCAAGCCACGGCAAAAACACACCATCCCGCCTGTCAACAGGGGGGTTTGCGCTTAAGAAGCGGCACAACAGAAATCTGCTGCAACCTCAAGCAGGTGTATGAACGTGTGCGGAGAAGAACTCACCTAGCAAAATAAATCACAATGTCAGATCATGTTCAACACTGCCTGGGTACATATACCCAAACACGAAGAGTGTCCGCTAGGGCTTGAAATATCTGTCTGAACCCGACGGGACCCCTTGCGTTGGATTCAGTCAGGTTCGGACGGGTTTGGAAGGGCTTAGATGGCATTTCCCGAATATGTATCAGGCTCGCTTGGGTCAGGTTCAAATGTCACGTTTGCCTCCCACTTTTAACAGGTTTAACAGGTTGCCTTGCTTTTGTTCATCTCCTTTAATTTTTAATCTGTAATGCTGGAGTCACCCAAGCGGATTGTTGAGGATTTAGCACACACAAGGCCAAAAGCTGCAGTCACACAAAATAGATGTGAAATGTGTTCTGTGAAAAAGCTGATTTGCTTGGATTAAAAAAATTTGGGAGCATTAAAATTTATCCAAGGGAACTTTACCCTGCAAATCGTGATCTTCGAAAGCATGAGCCAATAAAAAATGAGGGAGAGCTGTGGTATTTTTATTCAGAAAAATGCTAAATAGACAGAACATTGTCCCTCTCAGCTGCAACAAAAGCAAAATTATTAACCATAATATGTGTAACCATAACTATACACCGTTATGATCATATTGTCCATTATATCAGCTCCACTTACTGTATAGGTGCACTTTGTAGTTCTACAGTTACAGACTGTAGTCCATCTGTTTCTCTGATACTTTGTTAGCCCCCTTTTACCCTGTTCTTCAGTGGTCAGGACCCCCATGGACCCTCACAGAGCAGGTACTATTTGGGTGATGGATCATTCTCAGCACTGCAGTAACACTGATGTGGTGGTGGTGTGTTAGTGTGTGTTGTGCTGGTACGAGTGGATCAGACACAGCAGTGCTGCTGGAGTATTTAAACACTGTGTCCACTCACTGTCCACTCTATTTCCTTGCCAGTTCACCTTGAGATGTAAGGTCAGAGTCGATAGCTCATCTGCTGCTGCACAGTTTGTGTTGGTCATCCTCTAGTCCTTCATCAGTGGTTACAGGACGCTGCCCACAGGACGCTGTTGGCTGGACATTTTTGGTTGGTGGACTATTCTCAGTCCAGCAGTGAAACTGAGGTGTTTAAAAACTCCAGTAGCATTGCTGTGTCTGATCCACTCAGACCAGCGCAACGCACACTAACACACCACCACCACCATGTCAGTGTTACTGCAGTGCTGAGAATGACCCACCACCCAAATAGTACCTGCTCTGTGAGGGTCCATGGGGGTCCTGACCACTGAAGAACAGGGTAAAAGGGGGCTAACAAAGTATCAGAGAAACAGATGGACTACAGTCTGTAACTGTAGAACTACAAAGTGCACCTATATAGTAAGTGGAGAGAGTATAGAATGAGTAGAAACAAGGAGGTGGTCATAATGTTATGCCTGATCGGTGTATATATTGTATATATATGATATTTTAATATATCACGCTGTAATTGTATTTCTAAGTATTGTGAGTGTGATTTCACTCACAGTATATGAGAAACACACTGGCGAACACTTGAACCAAACTGGTTAAAAGCATTCTTTTGACCAAAACAATTTTTGTTGGCTTTGGTTCTCATTCATAAACCCACAGAAACACTAATCTGGAGCTTCAAATGTAAGTCATGATACAATGAAACATGCTGTGATTTGTTAGAAGCTATTTGCATAAATCAGCCATTTCAGTATTATAAAAGTCAATTAACAAAGGATGTATTGTGTTGCGCCATTGTTAGTGGTTTGCTCCTCTTGCTGTGCCAGACCGTCCACTTAACAAATGACTGAAAAGAAGCATTCTACATAATGGCGAGCGTGCAGGGCCAGCGCTGGCATCTGAAATCTGACCCCAGGGCTGTTTGGCAAAATGAGAGTGATGGGTTGTTTGAAGACGGATAACACAGGAAGCCACAGACTGATTCCTTTACAAATCACTCAGGCACAGCAGGACGCCTCTGGGAGCTTCTTATGCATTCCTTCCTGACCAATGGCCAGACAGAGAGATAGTGGAGGGCGTCTGCTGTACATACAGTGGACAAAGATGCCATAATGTATGAGGGGTTACTGCATTCTTACAGTGTTGCATAATTAGGCATATTTACGCAGGATCGCTGACAGGAAACGTCATTTTTAAAACCTCCACCAAAGTTGGCAAACCTCTTTTAACCCCTTAAATGGTCAGGGCTCACCGGCAGCCCCAGAATTCTATTACACACTTCTATAACCTAAGAATAGATCAGCCAGTCTGCGTTGAAGTCCCTGTAGTTACTGAATACTAGGCATTAGAATTTAACAAGCCTGGGATTTTAAGAGGTTAATCCTCTACTAGATGCCTTAAGCACTTTTTATCTCAGGCTCGGTAGTATTTACACTCGGACTTGTCTTAATCTCGGCCACTGGACTCACCAAATTAAGTCTCATCTCAACCGAGACCAACTACCATATAAAAAATTGGTTCTTTATATTTTCTTTGCTTTAACTGAGACCAACAGGCACTGACTCAGCTCAAAACCACACCATTCTGTCTGTTTATCCTTGATTTAGCCACTTGCTTGGAAAACATATTGGACACATATATATTTGCAAGTAGAACTGCAGATATTTTATTATCATTTGAATTTAATAAAAAGTTAATGTTGCATGTACAGTATTGTTTTGTGGAACAAACACAGTCATCGACGTGAAGCACCAAAAGCCCCCTGGCCTGCTAAACATGAGCGAGTGAGTGATTTACAAGCCTGGTCCATGACATGCTTTGCTTCCTGACATCAAAACAAATGGAAAAGAGTCTGAAAGCAGACTCGAATCTCTTGACACTGACTATAAATTGAATGGAAATATAATTAATTACATAACTTTGTGGTTAGTTGTGTAATTATATACTTTCATTCAAACAGTTCAGCAAAACTAAAGCAAGAACTTAAAAATTCTGAGTGTTAACTCTGCTCTTCAAAGTCAATCTGGTGAATTTACTTCACCAAAATATTTGAAAACAACAACTAATTTTGACATGTGACACTTTCAAAGATGTTTGCTGTGTATTGCGCAGAGCAGGCAGCTGCGGTAAAAGTGTTTCCACACCTGCCTCGTCACTGTCCTCACCAGAGCAATTTCCTAGTGTGACTAGAGCTTTACTGAAATGTAAGCTGACCGCAGCCCAGATGACATGCGTGTGATTTGAAGGCCGTCAGGGAGACTGGAGTCATTGGTCTGGCTGGCCTTTCTACAGGTGTTTCACAGGCAGAGGGACACTGTAACTTTAACAGGCTGAGTGAGAGGCCAGCCAAACACACTTAGGCTCCATCAGGACGATAAAACTCAGACTTTTACTAGCTGTGTAGAGGCCATAAGGAAAGGACGCACGTGTACAGTCCAACACGCAGAGACATTTTAAATAAATATCTCTTCACAGGACTTTTCCCCAAAGCAGGGGTCTCAGTCTCAAAGTACCTGGGGGCCACTATCCATGTGGTCTTCTCCAATGGGGAGGTGGATGAAAAAAAATGCAGAGAAAAAATATGAATGAATTTTAAACCTTTTAAACAAAAGCACTGGAAATATATTTGTTCTCCAAAAATGGATTTTCACTACATATACAAACCATTATTTTCTATGTAAAGACATAGTGGAGTAACAGCGTCCTGATCAGAGAATGAAGCCCCGCCCCCTCTGTGTGTGTGCTGCAATCAGAGCTTCTCTGTTTTTAGTTTTCATAGCCGGGATGGCTGCACGTGCATGTTAGTCCCACCCTGTGACCACGTCGGCCCTCCCCACGTTTTGTTTTGCCCTCCCCAAACAGTGACCGCCCACACAGCATGCATGCACAATTTAAGGTGGAATGGGAAAATCCGAACAAGAAGCTGGCGAAAAAGAAGCTACTTCAACTTCACTGAGAGCTGATGTGTTTGAAAAGGGATGAGGAGGTCGCTCCTGCTGGACAGGTGTTCTACATTAACTTTGCTGTTTCACGGAATCGATAAGTCAGTATTGTTTTGTCTTATTTGTAAATGTTTGTAATAGCAACTGTTTAGCTTCACAGCAGCAACTGTAGCGACTGTTGCTAACTCACTACCGAGCTAAAGTTTGCTACATTGCTCACTGTGTCGTTTTTCACTCTAACATTATATCATATTATTTGTGTGTAAGGTTTGCGAAGGTTTTACGGCCACAAAGATCTAAAAAGCTGTGTTGGTTCAGCCTCGACAGTGGGCGTCCTTGAATTTGGGGGGTGGGGTTTCTGAAG